ATATATTGCCTTGATAATGATTGGGATCTATTGATTGTATTACAAATTATGACAATTAAACTATTTGGATTTTAATTGTACAACATTATTTTGTTTTCAGTATATGATTAACGGATAGGAAAAGAGGTTAACCATGATAATACACTTACTCTTCATTATTAGCTACACTGTCTGTTACCGAAATCATATAAACTACCATAATATTTTACAGAATTTTTTCTTATTAAATAATGGAAATATTAATTGGTTGAATAATGAAAACTCTTTATTATTTAGCATATAAATATTATCTCCTATAATCCTTATTGTTGTTTTGTTAATCTTCACTGGTCAGAAATCTCCTCACATTATGATATCAAGTATGTAAACCGGTTTTCCAATAATAAATATCAATATGTTTAGGTTGTAAGAAACTGAAGCAAAACTGTGAAATAAAAAAGAAGAATTCATGTTATTCTGCTACCTTAATTGTTCTTGCTTTATTCAAACACTATGATATTAGTTAACTTGGTTAGGGTCACATATTTTGTTTTCTTGATCGAAAAGAAAACGTACTTGCATACAGAATGTTAGCAGAAATATAATCATGATAAGATGCTGGAGGTTGACGAAATATGGTAGTTTTGTAGAACATCCAGTTGTTAATAAACGGATACCTGAACGTTAGGTTTAATTTTTGTCCATCAAGTCAGCTTCTCTCAATGATTATGAAACTTAAATGCAACCTTTGATTTCTCAATGTAACAACATACACTTAATGATTGGAAGTTTCTGAAATAAGAAAACCTGTTTAGTTACCTCGACATTTAAAGATCAATGAAAAGAAGTTTATTCAATTTTCTTATCGTTTATGCATGCATATACCCTAACATAAAAATTGCTTCACAACTGAAATAAATGATTTATAGACTAACATTTACTTGAAAAGATTAGATGTAGCTGCTTAGTATTGTTTTTCTACAACTTACTATGGTGATGTTGATATATATCATTTTTTACCAGTAGTTAGTTAGAAAAAAACCTTTTTGAAATAAGTGTTCCATGACTTAATCAGTGAAAATTAGCCATTGGAAATACTTCGAAATTCTTCATATATGGCGTCGACTTTTTGCTTTCAGTTGAATTTCTACAGTGATCTACTGTCTCGCTCTGTTTATTACATAACCACTGGCAGACGCATCCATTAGGTGATGGTGATACATAATCTGTACATATCTGCACAATTCACTGTATTATATGCCTACATTTATTGATGATATTTTAATAAACTTTTTGGTAATATTACTCGTTTTATAATATTGAGGTTATAACGTTGATAAACGTGCATGTACTTATACGCTGCTTATATCTATATATGCACGGCTATCTGTATAATATGCATAATGCTGTGTAAACTATTAATGGGTATGTCAAGTCAGCAGTATGAAAATTAGTCTCACTTCTTTTTTGTAATAGACCTTTAGGTTAGGTGAGCATGTGTTGACATCAGTTAAAAAAACTAGGGAAAAGTGAAAGCAGCTGTTTTGTTCTAGCTTCGTACTCACTATGAGTGCATCCACAGGACTTCACAAGAGGCTGAACCTAAACGTTTCAAGTTTCGTGGTAAGCATGGTATTACTGAACACTTGCTTGAAATTTATTAGGTTACGTTTTTTAGAATTCTATCAGTTTTCACTTATTCATCATAGTTTGCAGACAAATATAAAGTAGTTTCACAATGCTCTTTACTTTTAAACGACTCTTTAAACAACAAAAATTTATGCTGAAAGCTATCTGAAATATATCTCAGTCTCCATAACATTATTTAAGTTATTTATGAAATTATATATATATCACGACGCATTCAAGCACAAGTCACATTTTTAACATTGTGTTTAACCGGCTCATCTCCTCAAATTTTAACTTATAGAGTATATAGATCCTTTCGTGTATGTTTTAGTTACTGACCAACTATCGATTCATCTATATATTTATTTCCGTGTATAAAATGTCTTACAGCATAAAGTCGAATTAGATGTTATAGCAATTTGAATTTAAATGATTTATCAGTAATTTTCGAATACAGATAACAAACGCAGTCATACAATTAACTAAGTTCCATTTTTTACCAGCATTATCAAAGTGTTTGTCTGATAGAGTGGTGAACTTGAAACGTTCTTAACTCATTATTCTTTACAACGACATCAGTCTTTCATCCACAGTAGACATAACGTGTAAATATTTATGTTTATTATGTTTTTCACAAGTAGTGCAGTCTGTGTGTTTATGTTTTCGAGGATTACTATTTGGTTATTAATTCCTCAGAAGTATTTACTTGATGCATAACTTTTGTTTATTTACGATCATATTTCGTTACGGATAGATAAGTCATTAGTTTCGAAGTTGGGATAATAAAGAGTGAACAAGACATTTCTAGAATAGTTTTATAGATTTATGTATGCTAAACTCTATTAAATGTTACTGTTATCTTGTTTTATTATAATTCAAAGGTCACTCCCATTTTATGATCTGGGCGTATATTAATAGAGACCTTTTGTTTACCAGAGAACCTGTTTGATATAATAAATGTTTCGCTAAGTCAGTCCCTGAAGGATTATATACTTTTGAAGTTTGAATTACGAATAGATCTCAACCGGACCATTATTAGAGATTTTGAAGATTATTTCATCTTGGCTTGGGACTTCATCTAAGGAGCGTCTAAGGTCACCCATCCAGGAACTTTGGTGTAGTGCTCAAACGCTTAGTCTCCAAATCCCTGAGTAAGCATCGATGGTATACCTCTCTAACTGTAATCAAACGCTCACGAACGAAACTGAATGTTCTGAGTTCAGTTTCTGTATTCGGAGCCATGAAACCAATAAGTTTCCGATTTAAACTATGAAAATAATTCATACCTAGAAACTCCATATTACTAATGATTTTATTTTTACTAATTAAAGTTGATACGGCATTATCTAAAAGCAATAACTGTTATAAAACGTCTACACATATTTTATTTCTCTTTAGAATAATCTAAGTGTTGTGTTAAACAAGTCAAAAAAGCGTTCCCATACTACTATTTAATTTATTTCTCTCTCCTTCTATAACACAGTAATCCTTATACTTTTATCAAGAAGTTTATTTTAAATTGATTATAAAAGTTTTGCAATACTTAGCATCAGATCAGATAGGTTCTACATTTTGCACACTATGTCATGTCTGAAACTAGTCAGACGTTAGTAAACAGTTTTATCAGTCTACTATAAATAATTTGTTCATAAATTTTAAAACGTAAATTACAAACCAGTTAATGAAAACATTTTTCTAATACATTTAGTCTTGATTTGCATCTTTATGAAATTTACTACTCTGTTTATTTCCGAAATCCTTATTCATGATTATGATTATTAGATTAATAAAAATCCGATCATCCAGTCATTAAAACTATGTTAGATATTATCAATTTATCAACAAATTTATGGATTATTTTTGTGTAACTACTTATTAAAATAACATTGGACGTAATTCGTCTGTCTTCATAAAACTGTGCTACAATCTGATGGAATAATGAAAATATTGTTTATATAGTTCTTCTATCAGTTAAGCTGTATTCATTTTCATCACATCTAATACTTATTTAGTTGCAAATAGAAATTAGACTAACTCTACGTTAAACAACCAAACATGGTTTATTTTAACTTAAAGAAAGCTACTATTCAAACTTATTGAACTCCACTTTAAAAACTAATTATATACATACCGAATGCCTGCAATTTCAGATGCATTCTAAATTTCCTGCATCTAAAAATATAAGCTAAAGAATCAATATACTGTACCAAATGTCTAAATAGATGTCGATATATGAATATACCCAGACGCGTTAGTTGGTATTAACCAATTCAAATAATATTCACGATATGCTTGTTGCCCCTTACAGCATTATAAATTAATATTCCAGTTTTTATTTCATCTGTATAGCAAGGATAAAAAATTTTCCCATTAATAAATGATTTTGTCTCCATGATATTAATTATTTTATTATTATGATTATGTTTGTATTTTTGTCTGGTAGTGCTACTAATTTAAAACAAGAAATAGATATTTTTAAATTTTCGAATATTTTGAATTACACTACAAAATACTTCGTCAAGAAATTGTGTGATTTACACTGTAATGCACTATATGCAATAAGGAATAATGTTTCGACTGTGGAACAGGTTTTCACACCGTAAAATTAGTAGATTATAATTTAAATGAATTTACCCGTTTATTACATAAGATACAGGTCGTAAATAAAACGCTGGTCAATAATGGTGAAGCACATGATTTTTGTCAGCCGTATATGCTATAAAATGATTTAAATTAGGGATTTTTTTATCACATAAATCTAAAGATTAGACAACTGAAAAACTAAGCTACGGATTTTAGGATGTGTTGAAAACTCGCTAAAATGATGTCTTACCGAAAATCGAACCATAAACTTTGAGTCATACAGTGAGCAACCAATAAGTTTCTCGTTCTCCAGCCGATACAACATTGTTGTACAAAATACCTCCAGCTTAAACAATGTTGAAAAAAGGAAACTTTCTGCTCAACAAAGCTGATAGTTTGATTGTCTAGTTTCTTAAACTGGGAAAACATTCGTTAATAAACTTGCATATACTTTCATTTTACCAAATTTGATTTGTATAGGTAACTGTAACTATCACAGATCAGTTACTGATTCTTAGCTCACATTGAAAAACAACTACTGTATGTGACTTTCTTATTTCTAGTAAAAAGTTCAATGATCCTAGACACAGTTTCTAATGATAAATGACTTTGCCTCACTTTTAGTCTTTAGATCTAAATATATACAATTCAACAAATTATATTCATGATCATAACTTTTAAAACGTGCATTTTTTCTACTGATCATTAATTTATATCAATGAATTCTTAGATTGTTTTTCATACTAAGCATTCATCAGGCGACGATATGAAATTAATTATTAACATATTTTGTTCTTGTTTTATTTCAGGAGTCTCCAGCTTTTCTTCATCAGTCTCCTCTTCCCTTTTATGTGATAGTAATATGAAAAATTCGAAATCATATCACTACAATATTTAGTGTTTCAATTGAAACAGAAACAATCCAATTACTACTAACAAGATGTGTACTTATTTCAATTTTATTTTGCTGCTATTTTTAATTACTTTTGACTTATTACCGAACTCTTTTTTATCATTATGTTCTGATTTGCATAAATCAACAAAATTAAAAACTCAAAATACTCTGAATCAGTTTAAACACTGTTGTGATGATGGACTGATTGCCGCGCATAGTTTAGATCTACCTATACTAACAAGTCAAACCAATGTGCCAAACAGCGAAACATGTGCAGAAATTTTGCAGTTTGGAACATCAGTAGTTGAAGATGTAAGTTACTGACATAACTCTTCGTTTAGGAATATTTTACGCGATAAGAATTTAAAACAATTTATACCACAGATATCAAGGAGAATAGATATTTCTCAACAAATGATTAGTTATTAAGTTAGAAAACATTTTACACAGTCCGACTAACCGAATAAAAAAGTAAATGAACCCTTTAGTTTGAAATAAAGTCCCAATAATAGCTTATTTAAGTGAAATACTATGGACACAGCTGAATATTATTAGTTTCTAACTTTTTTAAAGTTTTAATCTGATTTAAACTAGTTGAAACCAAATAAATTCCGAAATTATTTTACTTGAATGTATAGCATCCTTCAAGTTATTCAGCATAAAAGTCATGAAAACATCAAAGTATAACGACATTATCTGTTTTTTAATAAATCAGTTGAAAATTAAAATAGAAAAATTGCATCTGGCAGCGACACCCTAGACGTTCGTTACGTCGTCGTGTGAATATCATCGGATGGATGGTTTGGGAGTAAAGATTTCATTGTATGTCTGAAAATTATCATGAACACAAACTCTACAAATGACTCCAAGGTGGTCCTGTCCACCTCGATCAAAATTAACGTCGAGAAAGGAACTCCACCTTAATCATTCACCTGAGCGGCAAATTTTCTTTGCCATCTGAAAATCAAGAATGACTTTGACAGACAAGTTTTCTAGGAATAATTGGATTGAGTATCGATTCTTACATATATTAGTTGATATGAATCGTTAATTGTGCTTGGCTAATCATGTTTTAAATTTCCTCTAAATAAAATCCACGAATAATAAATGTTGTAAATAAGTTAGAATAATATTTCCAATGGTTTGTTTATAACAAAATAAAGTTTCGGAAGTGATGCAATTGTCAAAATAATAAGTCATATGATACCATAGTCTAAATCAAGTATATTAAAGTGAATCGATGATCAAAATGATCAGTTAACTTTAAAAATGATGAAGGATTACCCTATTAAATGTAGAACTTTGATTCAAGATTCTTTATATCAATTATCATTTATTAAGCTACATTTTGTTAAGTGATTGGTACAGATCCCAATAAAAGCTTCCATTAAATGTACCTTCTACATAAAGTGTTATCCGCTAGTTTCAAAACTGTTTTATTGATAAATATGTTCAGCCATGTCCAGAAAACAAATCCACTAATTTTATAAAAGCTTAAACAGGAATATACATAGAATGTTACACATAATAACTATGTAAAATTTATTGAATTCCATTGTACGGATAAATGGTTTTAATATTTATGCAGAAAAATAATACATTGGTTCTCATTGAACATACAAAATCTGTAAATCGGGTTACTTAAAAATAATAAAATCTGTTTGTATTTAATTTGAATAAAATAACAAATAGGGTGCTGAAAAGTTGTCTTCAGATCATTTTTGGTGTCAACGTATTCAACATTTCTGTTGTTTGTCAGCTAGAAGATTAAAAGCTTGTCGAATCGGTTCAGATCATATTATTAAATATAATGCAAAAAATTGTTCAGCTGGTGAGTTCAATCATTTGAATGACAAGAGATTAACACCAATAGCTCGGGTAAGTTGAATGATTTTTTTCTCCTAAAATGAAAATTTCCCAATTATCAGTTTCTTATTATTTCCATGTACTGATAGAATATATTCAGTTAAGTGTAGAATGCTATAAAACTATTATAACTGATCATCTTTCATCACTTTTACTAGTTTACGATTGTCAGTTAATTCATTCTAATAGGTCCCGACTGAAATAATTTAACAAAACCTAAACAAAGAACATCCAGAAAGATCTCTTGGTAATCACGTAACGAACTCAAACATGAACATATACACAAATTAGTATAATATGAATCGTAATGAGCTGGCAGATAACAAATAGTTATTTGGCGTTAGAATAAATCATTGTGACTGAATAAGTAAGGTGACCTTGATATTTTATACTGAATTGAAAAATCCATGATATTTTAATGTCACTAACAAAATACTGTTTCATTTAGAGTATTATTTTTACTTTAACATATACTGTTGTGTTGATTAGATTAATTACAATTTACTGTATATTTCAAAGATTTGTATGTTATAAAAATAGTGAAACTACAGAATCTAATTGCTATACTCGTCTCTAGGTATGCCTAAACTATTATGGATTCACCTTAGTCGAACAAACAATGAACCAGTGTCCAGGTACGCTACTGTGATCCCTTGACCAAATTGAATCAGCAAGAAGTTTAGATATAGCGTAGAAAGTGTATTCTACAAACACCCAGCCAGCACATAATCCATCAAAGCACTCTAATTGCGTTTATTTATACTCCATAGAAACGTCCTTGGGACAGTCACAAAAATAGCACACAAAAATGGCACAATAGCCAATCAAAGCCAAGGATTTCCTGATGGGAAATGCGATCTCAAGATCAACTGATTGGCCCATGAAATAAATCCAAAATAAGGATATTTATCAAGCGAGTTCTGGGGATCTAACATCCCCAACAATAATGGCAATCCATAATTACTTGTTTCACTACAGGTTTCGATGCTTTAGTATCCCAATGTTTTCTGAAAATATAGTCTAATGTCTAATATTTTATTTAAATAACATTTTATGCTTTAATCAGTCAGTCAAAAATCAATGATGTGCATTGCAAAGCTACAATAATTTCATTAGATTGGTCCATTTTACTCTCAGTCAAAATGTAAATTTAAAATAATATACATTTTGTAAAAAGTAAAATAGACTATTTAAATCTCACATATTTATCTAACTTTCGCTTTTTTAGGAATGTTGTCTGTGTCAGTTAATATGGCGTAGAAGTTCATTAAATGATAATAATGTTACCGAACATAATCAAGAGCCTGTACAAAGTGTATGTTCTAATGGAAATTGTTGTAACTTACTTAGTCAAAGTAAGTTCAGTATTTTTCTTGGTAAATGCTAGAAAAACTACAGTTCAATTTGAATAATTTTATGAGCATAATATTCTGTCGTTTTTGTAATGTATTACTCAACTACGTGAACTAGGAGTAAGCCATGTGAATGAATTAGATTGAAAGTCCATTGAGACTAATGATCCAATCAGAATAAATCTAAAAAAATAATTTATAGTTTCCAAGCTTTTTTAGAAAACAAATTTCTATCCTACGCTAATATGAAATGGATAACCTTCGAAACCAAAGAGCATTGGAAAGCTGTTTCGTTAAATTTGGTATCTCCTCAGTAGTAGGCTTCTATTATCTCACACTAAAAATAAAAATTTCCATTTGTTACTGTTAGCATAATGCAACTACACTGTCAAATCAGAATACAGAGACTCATACTTTCCTCTTTACTAAGTTAGTAAAGTTGAACTGTAGTAGGTAAATAATGATATCTCACAGAGTTTGGATGTATTTGATGTTAATCATACTATTCTTGAATAAGTTAAAATTATCGAATATAAATTGTTTGGATTTGTTCCATAGTTTATTGATGCGAAATTTCGTTATGGAGAATAAATTTCTTAAATGCCCTAAAAACTATCCAATAATTTTTTTTGTTTCTTGTTCTGAATACACATTTAGTATTAATGGAAGACAATACAACTTCATCTAAATCATCAATGATTATGTCTGACGATCCTGATGTTCATAGAATTATAACAGAATATTTGACTACAACTGAAGAAATGGCATTGTTGTCAACCACTTCATCTACATCAATAGCAATGACTACTAGTAAAGCTACAGAAGAAAGACAGCCAGCAGATGAGGAAGATGACTTTTCATTCAATCTTGTTGGTGGGATAAATTTTCCAGATATTTGGGAAGAAACAGATACCGATAATACATCACTAATCAATACAACTATGAGTGATTACTCAAATAATATAGTTACAACATCTCCTTCTCCTGCTAATCTTCCTTCAACAACTGATACGTCAACTGTTGTCACTTCTACTACTACTTCTGTAACGCCTATATCGGTATCAACGGATACTACCACAATGGGTGAGACTACGACTACCAGTACATCGACAATCGTTCACCAAACGTCAACCACTGAACTATCAAAGGAAACAACTCCTACTAGCTTAAAAGAAACAAGTCATTTGAAAACTATACAGTGTCAAGACAACTTTGTTTGGGATAATGATCAACAATTATGTGTTCGACTTGTGTTCTCATGTCCAGTAGGAATGTATCTCAATAAAGAAACGAAAAGATGTGTTTTCGAATCAACTGAGAGATCAGATTGTCCAATAGGTTATAAGTTATCCAGTACACGAGATGAATGTGAAGGCAAGTAATAAAAAATCTACAAAAGACAGTTTACTGAAGAATGACCATTGTTATTATCATTGTCCGAAAAATCTTTCTACCTTTATGAGAATAATGTTTCTGCTTATTAGTGACAACATTGTAAATAAGTAGTTTTAAGAATTATAAGGATATATTTGCTGAAAATCTTATTACTTCTCCGTGACGATGGAAATGAAAACTAACTCCATGTTGTAGTTTATACGGCACTACAAGTATAATCCATCATAGGAAAAGTATTTTCGATAATAGTAAGACTACAACCACGGTTTTCTTGTGAAGATTCCTAATTATATAATACCTATCATCCTATAAGGCAACATTCAGTCATTTAACAACAGATAATTTGTAGCGAATAATGTATTAGCATCTGCATTATCAGAAGCAGACACGTAAACTCTTTCTTATAGTGATAACAAGTGTACTTCCTGACTAATTAGGAACGTTTACCTTCCTCAAAGTCCTAAGAAGTCTAATAATATGCTTGGAAAAGCAGCTAAGCCTATTTCAGGGGTTTTCATCACTTTATCACACTGTCTAAAATCGATCAGAACCATAATTATAAAATAACCTCAGTATAACGTTTTCATATTCGGTTCAACTGTTCACAACGATGAGTGATTTTTGTTACAAACTTCAGAGAGTCTACATGTCAAAGCAATCCAAAACATATACTACTCAGAAACATCTGATAATAAAATTTCCCAAAACCTTGTAAGCTATAAGATATACCACTGTACTAGTAGATTTCGTGAATCAAAACTCAAGAAGACCAATATCATCATTTGATTGACTTATTTGTACCTCTCAATTAATATGACATTAAATTAATTGTAATTTATACAATACATAGTTTGTATATGACCACATTAATTGCATGACTCGATTCGCGTTTAGAGGCAGTTATTTTCTGATTCAACATCATTCAATATTTGGTCAGTAGTTAAACATATTCTAAAAGCGGTATATGAAGTGGTAGTTTAATGATGTGTCTTCTGAAAAAACAACAACTACTACTATCGTTAAGTAAAATCCTACTGAATTCCCGTTCTACATATGCAAATTTTTCTTAGTAACGTGAGAAACTAAAGCAATTTCTAATAAATATATATTATAAATATATACTATATATACTCGTTATATAACTATATATATTATCTTACAGAATGCTCTTGAAACTTATACATTTATTTGATTACAATACATTGTTTGAATAGACATTAACGAATGTATTGAAGGTCTCGGCTCAGGTACATTACCATGTGAAGGTGAGGGAACGAAGTGTGAAAATCTACCAGGATCCTACAAGTGTTCTTGTAATTCTGGATTTTCAATGGCCTCAGACGGCACTTGCGTTGGTATGTCATACATCTAGTTTATCTATAAGTTTGATAAATTTTCATTTAGTACACTGTTTAACTGAGATGTTTTAAAGCACTATATAATGGATCTATATTTAAATAAATGCACTCTTCCTGGTCTTCACTGATTGTCTAGGTACAGTCAATACAAAATTTAAACCTCTAAAATCTGTGTACTGTTAGAATCAGTTGACTAAAGCTAACAAGTATTTACAATGAATATTCTCAATAGCGACTAGATTCCAAATACATCGTTTACAGCTATACTGTTGAACAGCGAAATCTAGAATGCAACCAAGAAGATATCAAGATAGTATTTCATTGACAAGTTTAGAAGAGGATTGTACTATAACAATAGTTGACTAAAGGTAATAATATAGTCCTTTGAATTTCATTTCTATGAAAGAATAGTGCTGCATGCGTAATGCCTCTAGATTCTGGGTTTAATGGAGTCAGGAATCATCAGTGTGTAATGCTGATTAATGTTTGTTTAGTCTAACCTGATTGTGAATAGTTTTTAACCTGATGTCAGTCCATCGAGGAAGTCCATCAATGAATAGATGTTAAGAATAAAAGTATTGATCGACCATGTCACATGTTTGAGTGTTATTGTTTCGAGGATATGCATAAATAGAATTGACTTATAATGTACCTAGGAGTGAACTAGTGAACGTTGACCATGCTTCAAAGTTTTTTTAAAGTTGGATAATTTCAATAATATTAAAAATGAAGATATTATTACCACATTTCTGATATCTAATTCATGTACAAAGTGGTCCAAGCAATTCAAAACTTTACTGAAGTTATCTCAGAGACACATTGAACTACTACAACTTTACTCTCAAAATGAAAAATATGTTTTTTCCAAAAGAATATAAATCACACGACCAAATGTAACAAATCATTGAGCTGTAAGAAATATTATGATTAACTTAGTAAATTTAATACTTAGTGTCTCAACTATCAACATTCTGTTTCACAGTGTACACTTTCAGTTTGTAATTATCAAGATCATTTGTGAAAATAAATCAGAGTTTTAATCATATCGTGAATGTTAATTCTTCGAAAGAATACATCATTTGATTTCGATTCTCTTTACGAATAAAATGTTATAATAAATCCTTTTTTATTGAATCACAAGCTAATCTCAACATGATGAACGAGTTTAACTATATCTTACAGAAAACGCTTATGTGTATAAGGATTCAGTGGTTATGATATCTTATAAGGATTGTTTAAAATTCATATTCTCCATTTACTTTTATAACTATTCAGCGACTTGTTTTATAGTAGTGATTTAACAAACGAATGCTTACCACCAGTTTGTGCTTGTTAAATGATTACTCCTACATTTAGACATTTATTAGATGTACTGAGATTAATTTATGCCAGCATATTTAGTCAGTTATTGGTTATCCCAAATTATAAGAAGGGATTTATTCATCCGTCCACCGTTTGATCATTTTTTGTTAATTGTTGAAGTAATGCACGGTTATTTTGAGCATGAACTCTCATTTATGTACAGAAGTGTATTTAATTAGTGATTGTAAAATAAAATTGAATATATGTCACTGATTATCACGGCTTTCAAATCTCTGTATTATTTTCTGTTTTGTTATTGGTTGATAACAAATATAAAAATTGAATAAAAAGGAAATCTCACTTATATTTTAAGATTTTAACTCGCCTAAATTAAACTTATGCAAATGTCAGTAATTTTAAAGAAATAGTCTTATGCTTCAAAAGCATTATTCAGTTAACAATTTTGTTTTTCTGAAGCTCGTGCATTCAAATAATCTCTTCAATTACTTTGCTTCTGTTACAAATATAACAAAATATATTTCAAGACAAAATTAAAAATTGATGTAGTAATTTTGTGGTTACTTTTGTCAATATTTTATATAATTTGACAGTTTTAGAATATTTAAATCATGTCACAGTGACATAACAAGCTGATATAACTTATTTCTTTTTCTATATATCTTTTTCTGTTCCTTTATAAATCAAGTTTCGTAAAATTGTAATTTAGCATAAAGTGTTTTATTTAACTAATCAGTATATGATAAGTGAGAGGAATAATATACTGTAAGAGGAAAGGAATTTTTGTTAATGCTTAGTTTTTAGTATGAATAAATGTCATAAAATTTTTTGGAATTCAGTATTCAGATAAAAATTCGAATAAATTTCTTACCTTAAATAAATATATAATTTCGAAATTAAAAAACAGGTGAAATAACAGCGGCTCATGCTTTTGCCGTAGTTATTTTTGATATAAAATTTACCAACGTCAAAGTAATCCTTTTCCTGATGTCACACTACTTAAGGCCATTTAAGATGCTTGCGATGCATTTCCTTAGTTAAAATGTTCACAGAAAAATTTGTTAAATTATATATATATCAATATTGGCAAACATTCATGAGAGTAGTGTCATTTAAACTGTAACTTCATGTTATCTTCCGTATCAAACAGTACAGACAAAAGATGTACACATGGTCTTTGAATATTTGTTTGCTTTTATAATTCAGTTTTTTCTAAAACAATATTAAATATTCTGTATCAACATCTTAGTTTATTTCGGAAATATTACATGTTTTCGGCAATATATTTCATTCATATTATATATATATATATATATATATATATATATTAACACGTAACAGAAATATTTGAAGCTTTGTAAATTGTATATACTTTAATTACTGAAACTCCATGAAAAAGACAAAGTAGTTGCCTGTCTACTAAAAATTGTGAAAGGATTCGTTTGTGAAAACGTTTATTGAAACTAGATTAAAGGTAAATGCATTAAGAGAAGTTATTCCTTATCCTACAGCATTGGCAACTATTCAGATTTTTCAGCTGATAATTCTAGCTGTAACACCTGCCTACGAAAAGATTTAGAAACTGAAATATTTTCATCCTTCTAAAAATACTATATTAACTGGCGAAATTCATTTTCTTCCAACTTGGAAAAAGTTTCTTAAAATTAAATTTGTCATCTTAGATTATGTTTCTCATCACATTAATTAGTATGGCTAGAGAACCAATGAAAACAAGTAAACGAAAAATAATCATCTCATCACAATTAGAAGCTTCTAAACGAATCAGCAGATCGCATGTGTGGTAACTAGTTTTTAAATGAATTTTACTAGTTTCGAATTAGCTATCACCACTTTAGTATGTAAACGTTTTGAGTTCAAAAGGTAACCTATAGGTGATATTGTGTGTAAACTGAAATATATTTATTGAATAATATCTAAAATTCCATTTTTTGTAATACAACGCGTTATTTCATCAGTTCAGATTCATTTTTAAAAAGGAAAAGCAATTTTTCTTTAAATCAAATTAGATATTAACGAATGTACATCAACGCATAATCCTTGTCTTGTTGGCCAGCAATGTCGGAATCTAATTGGTTCCTATCAGTGTCTTCGTGAAGTCCCATGTGGCTATGGTTATGTATTGAATCCTAGAACTCAACAGTGTGAAGGTAAGTTGAAAGAACATTCTCCTAATAATTACATTTTCACAAATTTACCCAGTTAACATCCGAAAATATGTTTTGTGTTAAAAAATCCTCTATTTTTTTAAAACACTTTCAAACAACTGAGTAAACAATGATAATAAAACTATCATGATTAATTCACATCTGTAACACTCTGTAGTGTAAATAATTAAAAATGTAGATGTCTAAAATAAGCAAATAAATTATTGCAAATCCCACTTACTTACTCACGCCCGTTACCCCCCCCCCCCCCCCCCCCAAAAAAAAAAAATCAAAAACCTAAGCGATAAGAAAACATAAACGTCTTTTCAAAAATGAAAAGATTATTTTCACTTTAAATATTTAGAAGTTGGTGTTGTTTGTTTCGTACCATTCATAGGAATTCCGCAGCTTCTGATAACTCAGGACTGGTTTATTTTAGGTTTTCTTTTCACGACAATGTTTAACCTCTGGTTTAAACTTGATAATCACTGGAAATGCGTGAGCATTAGTTACCTGTTTTTAATTGTTCTAAGATTATTAGCTGTCTACACCTATGTTCGGTCCTCAGGTTAAACTAGGAAAATAATCTTGAAATTAAACTATCTATAGAAAGATCAGTTTCTGACATTGCTTGCTATCAACGGTTTTATTTCACATTATTCTTCAATAACATTATTATTTTACTTTGGTTTATAATTTTGGAAATATTCTTTCAACCCCAGATGTCGATGAATGCAAAATTGATCCACTTATATGCGGCAAAGGTATGGCATGTATCAATGTTCGCGGAGGTCATAAATGTGTTGATTATCATTGTCCTGGAAATGCAAAGTATGCCAACGTAAAATATAATGTTTATAGAATTATTTTGTCTTTTTTTCACATTTCTGAAAACTGTTCATGATTGACAAGTTAGTATCAGTCTCAGCAATAACAATTGCTAAGAATTAAAACAGCTGACCAGGAAATACAGCGACACGTACAAAATATTAAACTTAACTTAAGCGAGATTAACATTATCTGTAGAATGCTAGTTGTGTTGGTCTCTCAGTGGTCCACAAAATATAAATACTGACTACCAACCAGGATTCTCGTCCACGTATATATGTATATATATATATATATATATATATAATGCACTCTATGTGTATAGAACCAGGTTTTTATTATGTAACTACACTAGAATATATACAGTGATGTGTTTCTGTTTTAGTAGGAATGAGAGTTGTTGTTAAATTACAAGCATATTTCATGAATAATCAGTGGGTATTTTCTAAACAATAAATCTGTTGTATGTTCATTAAGAAGCATGAAATGAAACTGTATTTACAAATCTCTTTGTAAAACTATTTCTCACGGTACATTAAATCAATTGATTTTTGAAGTATTTTATCTTTAGTTAAATATTGATGTCATCACAAATAAATGTTTCTTTCAAAACCTCTTATTTGAAATTGTTTTTTTTCTGAAGACGAAACAAAGTTGGTGATTGCGTTCCATGTCCTACAGGATATGTGTACAATGTTTCGAGTGGATTATGTGACGGTACGTACTAATTTATTTATGGAAAATGTATTAGGTAAAGAATCAATATGTATATCATTTATTTTTCTCTAATATGAAGCATGAAATTATACCATAAGTGATGAATTTCAAATTTTATAATTCTTTACTTTAGACTAATAGAAAAACACTAAACACTACATATATAAGAGTAATTTCCATCCAGAGAAGCATCGGAATTATGGAGGTTGACAATAATTATAGAATTTTATTTTAAAGGCAGTTCATATCATGAATACTCTTTTCAAGAAGTACTTTTCTGATGTATATTCTAACAGAGATATTTGGAAAGTGTGTACATACTTATATATGAGATATGTAACACTAGCTAGTATAGGAAATGGTAGAAAAACAGCTGGCGAAATCCAAACTATTATTATTAGCTTATGTAAACACAGACTGCTCAAAGTTACAATATTCCGAAACCATTATAGATGATCGCAGATTTTTGCTGACATTCTTCAATATCAATCCCATTTCATCATTATCCCTAAATCTGTATTAGCATAGTCGTAGATGATCGCCTTACCTAATTTGTTTGTCGTGTTGAGTCGCATTTCCTGTCGTCAACATATCTTACTATCACTGATATTACTAGGATTTTGACGCATTAGATATTCTTGTCAGCCTTATTCTTCGGTACTTTTAAGATGCTTCATCGCTGACCGGTGAACTTTTGCTACAGGTCCATCTGGACAAATAATTTTGTTCGTATATTATCATCACTTACACTCAAGGTGCTTTAGATCCATCATAACTACTTTTATGTATGAAACATGCTTAACTGAGAATTCAGTTTTTACTCCGCATTATTTCAATTTGATGAATTCATTAACCTCAACGTTACATTCAGAAAATATGTAATATTGATATAACTATGTTCCAATGCTTAATCCTTGTCACCCCACAGTGTAATTTTTGAGTATCATTTACACTGTCTTTTAACTTATTAATCATATTTTGTGGGAACTTCTGTTACAAAAATGTAAATACTACTATTCTTAACTTGGAACATTGATTAATTAAATCATAAGTTTATATATATATATATATATATATATATATATATATATATATAACATTAGTTACCGAAATGCAGTGTTCATAGACTAAATACAGTAGATTCTGTGAATCAAGTCATTTACAGTAACTTTTCACATAACGATTTCTTGTTTTAAGTGTTTTACTGAAATCCTCAAAGATTTCTACCTATTTCGATAACTATAGCACTAAAACTATACTTTTAAGCTTATATTTAATCAAACAAGTGATTCTTAATCGTATTTAAACATTGAAGAAGTTAACCAGTTAATATGAGTTCATTTAATATTAAGCCAATCAAACCATGTATTCTTGTTATAAGAAAGGTATACCAGAAAATCTTTATCTAAAATAACTCAGACAGAACAAACTTGAATCTTCAAAATAATACTGCATTTCTGAGTAAACGTTACAGTTACAACGTATTCATTTCTGCTTTATTCTTGTGTATATGAATAGTATACAATTGGTTTAAAGACATAATTTACAACTTTAAGTCAGATATATTTAATGCATAAATGCTTTGACTATCTAATAATCTTCCAATCAATAAGAATCTTATATATATATTCATAACATTCTGGTGCTGTTTAAACAGTTCAATAATTCAAATGATTATTATTCATTGATTTCTTTTTTCTTTTACCGAATAAAACAACAAATTAAATCACCAAAATATAAATCTGATGAATAAATTAATTTGATTTAGAGAAGTGAAAAAAAAATAAAGTGATTTATTCGAATATTAAGATTTATTCTAAAATCATAAATGTATAATACACTGATACGTAGATTGTAGTCAAAAACAATTGCATAGAACAGATGTTAGCATAAATATATGGTTAATTATAAAATATTCATATTTAGTCTGTGGATTTTCCAGTTTTATGCAATCATAAAGTAAAGAGTACAAAAAAGAAAATGCTTAAGGAAAATGTAAAACACATCGCAAATTAACAAAATATATACAGATTAGACTAATGATAGTATTTTGTTTGATAATGACTTCATTTTCTGTAAAATGAATACAAATAATTTGTTTTTTTTAGGTAATAAACAGTATCTTTTTTCAAATATGCATTGGAGTATTTCTTTTTTGCACCTCACAAATCTATTCATTAGAACATTTCAATAAGTCATATTTTTATGTATACATCACATGGTATTGATGCTTTACTGAATAAGAAGTTTTTCAACTTGAAACTAACTGTTGTTTTAAAAAAAAACGAGACAAACAAAAAGAATCAACGGAATCATTTCGTCTATAAATAATTGAACATTAGACTGATAATCTATTTTTTCAATTAACTTAAAGGAAAAGTAAACCATTTGTACTGTGAATACTATGAAGGATTACAAATTAGATTTATACTAATTACACGCATAAAATTCTTTACAAACTATAGAAATATCTTAAAAAATAAATTCACAGTCAAATTGAAACTGAATAAACATCATGATTAATTAAATCCACTTTATGATATTAGTTCAACTATGAGTATAATCTCCATAGCAATAATCAATGTAGTGATAAAAAGATCTATTTTAGATTTATAAAACAACTGAATACAGACGCTGATTTAATATCTCTTTCAGATTGCAGTCTCAGTAGTTTTATAAATCTTTAAACTTGACTGACAGTAATCGTCAATATAGAATTGTGGAGATTGTTCACTTTCATTGAAATCGCGAATTAATCAATGTTCGACCATCACTGAAAACCTGGGAGCACAGGACGGCCGCTTCATCCTAGTCTAGGACTCTCATCAGCAGCCCACACATGCTTGACAGTATGCACTCATTAAAAGGCTAAAGAAGCATTATAAATTTTTAATCTACTTGAATAAAGTAAACCTAGCGTCATTGTTTCTCATGTAATGATTAGGTCTTGATTTTAATTTTAGAGAGAATGATAAGCATAGGTTGTCAGATATTTATAAGTGAGACTTTTGTGAGATAATAAAATATTAAAAAACCATTTTCATCACAAGAAAATTATTCAACGCTCAGTTTATTTACAGTTTTCCAGATAAATCATTATACTGATATCGTATCTTCTTACATTTTACTTGTCACATTCTTAACTAGCACATTTATCCTCAAGCACTATTTATTTCAATGAAAATAATGCATTTTAGACAGAAATACGCATTAAATTGCTTAAGTTATGTATAAAAATTTTAATTAATGTTTTTTTTCTTTAGATATTGATGAATGTCAACAACCGAATAAATGTAGATCTTGGGAGAAATGTATAAATGAACGTGGCTTCTTTTTGTGTGAAGCTAAATTAAACTGTGCTCATGGTACACGAATTAATGCTAACGGGACAGAGTGTTTAGGTGAGTTTTTTCAGTAACATCAAACGAGCGTTTCATTATTATTATTTATTTATTTCTACTATGTAGACTTCGTACTTGATTTCAGCTTGAACTAAACTTGTTACATCTTTCACGATTTAGAACATAGGATACGAATAAATTCTGAATGTTGATACCATTAATTAAAGCTAAATATACTGTAACTATATTGAGATACTAAATAGATATAAAAACCGACAACAGAGCTAAATACGTCTACATTTACTTGTGAAAATAACTTGATGTGTGGGAAATCAGACAGCATTATATTTGAATTATTTCAAGGTAAATATTAGTTTTTGTTATTTGAACATAATTTCCAAACAGCTACTTTGAAGAAAACAAACTTAGTCTGTTCTTAAACGCTATTTTCTAATTTCAGATATAGATGAATGCTTGGAGAAAAGCTTTCATTGTGATGATGAGAAAATATGTGTTAACACTGTAGGTTCCTACTACTGTACAGAATCAAACTGTACAGCAACTCAAATGTGAGTTTCCTCTTATCGTATATAATTATTTTGTAAGTCTTAATGCTGTGGAATTACAAGTGAAATGTGGAGATTGGTTAGATCTAAAATCATCGTTGATTTATGCAGTGCATTTTTAAAAATCTGACTATGCATTCATTTATCGAAATATTTTGCACAAAAACTAAGGAACATCATTCAGTTAAAGGGGTAGAATAAACAAAAAATGTGAACACGTGACAACAGAAACGATTCGACTATACGATATTATCCCAAAATGATGAATGTCATTTATCATTTTACACTCAGTAATTACAAGTGAAATAATCATGCTTTTCTATGATAAGTTACTTTTTAAGAATGCTTCATTATATTCACCATGAAACAAACTTTAAATCCTTATACAGAACTGTTCAGAAATACATTTTTATGTCAGAAAAAGCCAGTACTATTTCTTGTCTAGTACATTTTTATTAAGGTTAGTCAAATTAATTCCAAAGTTTGTACTTATCTTCCATGCACTACAATCGACAGATGTACTGTTGGTTTCCATATAACTTTCTGGGTGAATAAGAAGTAGCTTTGACAATATTTTGAACAGGCGTTTTATGGAAACTTAAATTTAAAAATATCTTCTATAACAGGCAATGTTAATTTATCAATTCAAATTTGTTTAGTCTAGTTGTTTATGCAAATGTACAAAACACCATTTAAATCAATTAGCTTCAAATTATTGGCTTAAAATGTTCATAAGCAAAAGTCGAAAAATACATTAAACGTAAGCTTATTAGTAATTAGCTAAAGTCGACTACTAACACATTTGTCATTTGGGTTTTTAAACTAAAGAAATAGAAGCTATGTCAAATTATCTCAACACTATTAAATGGTTATGTTTTTTGTAACTAGTTTATCATCTGTCCTACCAGGAAAAGTACTTTAAATAATTTTCATGTACAAACGAGTAACACTGTAGTAATTACAACATTTTATTTTTACTCAGATATGATTATACAGAAAGAAAGTGTACTTGTGAAAAAGGATATCGTGTTCTCGAAAATCAGTGTGTAGGTAAGTATACACAGACTGAAATTAAAATTAAAATTGTAATAGGAATTTGTGATTACAAGTTTGCTTGGAAATTTTCTGAATGAAGTCTGTCAAAAATTTAGTGTGTTGTTAAATAAATATCATTATTTTGCTTTGGATAATCAGTAAATATGCTTGAGAAACAGATAATCCAATAAAAATCTCCCTTATCTGTCATTTCAGTCACCGTAAACAGTTTAAACAAAAATATTTTGAATTCTGAAAAATTTAAGATGTTTAAAAAAATGTCATACCAAAAAAGTATTGTAGGATAATAATATAATTATTTATATCAGATCAGTAAAAAAGTACTGGCAGTGTGAAATAGTTTTAATAAAATCATAAATTTCAGGCTGTCACAACTGTTCAAATATACTTCCTAGTGGTCAAGATGAAAGTGAGACTGAACAACTGGTCGGACAGCATCACAAAAGTTTATTAGATCCTTTCTTCGGGATACAGCAATCAGTATCAGTCTCCGCCCGAATACACAGAAGTAGAACATCAAATGAAAGGGTGCATTAGAGCTGATAAACAGAAATATGTAGAAGACGTAACAATGGTAGCAGAAAAACCTGCAAGAGAAGGAAACATGAGACAGTCATATGATATAACGAAGAAACTTTTTGGAAAATATGGTGAACTAGCACAACCAGTGGAAAACAGGGATTGCAAACCAATGACTGACATTACATAGCGGAGAAACAGATGAGTAAAACACTGAGGAACTCTTGAATAGACAAACACCAATTAACACAGGAAACATCGAAGAAGCACCCACCTACCTCCTACATGGAAGACAGCTCGGAGACTCGTTCAAAATGTAGACTGATGTCAGGCAAGGTCTTTTACTCTCACCCCTTCTCTTTCTTGTGGTGTTCTACTAAATTATGAAGGGTCCAGTATCTGAGGTAAAGCATGGGATACAGTGAACAGCCAGGATGCAGATGATTTAGCCCTAACATTCCAAATAGAACAACAAATGAAAGACCAGAAACCAGTTTAGCAACCGCATCTGAAACAGTTGGCCTCAACATATACAATGGAAAATAAAGATCCATTGATACAACAAAACATGCACCAACTAAATCATATTTGATGGAGAAGCTTTGGAAGATGTGGAAACGTATACAAACCTGTAAAGCATCATTAACAAACAAGGTGGATATAATGCACATGTGAAGGCGTGGATTGGTAAAGCGAGGGCAGCATTCCTACAAATGAAGGACGCTTGGAACTCCGAACAGCTATCAACAAACACCAAATTCAGAATGTTCAATACAAATGTCAAGACAGTTCAGCTGTATGGAGCGGGAAGAGAGGGGAGGACAAACCGGATGTTAACTAAGCAAGAAATTAGGAAAAAGCGTTGGAAGTGGATAAAACAAACATTGATGAGACTACCCAACCGCATCTCAATGCAAGTCCCAACTTGGGACCCTCAAGGTCAAAAGAAAAGAAGTAAACCAAGAAACAATTTTATCAGATTTGAACAGAGACATAAAAAGAATGGACAGTAATTGGGTGGAACTGAAAAGAACATCCCTGGATGGAGTTGGTTCGAGAATGCTGGTCGGTGGCATATTTTCTCCTAAGGATAGCAGGCTTATGTTAGTAAGTAAGTAATAAAGATATTTACAACACATTCTAGTTAAAATGGCAGCAATGATGATTTTCGGAACAAGATTTTTCTTGAATGAAGTGTATACTGTCTAAGTTTTTATATACATTGAAAAACGGTTTCATGACAACATAATTTTTACTGGTGAAAATCATGAAGGATTGAACAGTCCAACGCATTATTCTTACATCATACAGTCGAAATCCAGCAAGCCTTACTGTTAAGATTATTCACTTTGTGACATGGACCAGTCTTTATCCATATTCATCAATAAACAACCACCTTAATGCTGAATTAAATAATTCCAAATACATAGGTTTTCATAGGAAATTCAATCAGTCTTTTGTACAGTTCTCCAATTGTAATCATATGATAATTTTTATTAAGTTAAGACTTTTGGTAATTGTAAACATTTACTTGTATAGATAATTATTACTAGTACTTTTCACATCATTATTGGAAAGCATTTGATATATCCGGTTGTTGATCTTCTTAAGTGGATTTTGGTCAATGTTATTTAGCACATGTGCACGTAAATGGGTGGATAAGCTTTTCCTGGATCTGACTTCCAGCCACATTTCATCTATGATATGAAAATAACCTATTTCTATGTTAATTAATGTTTTTTTTCTCTATTTTACATAGACATTGATGAATGCTATGAAAATACACATAACTGTACAAGTGATAGTACTTGTATGAATCATATCGGTGGATATCGTTGCATACGAATAGAAGAATGTCCATCAGGTTTAAAACGCAAATCACTATTTTCAAGATGTGAAGGTCAGTAAATAGCTTTGTTTAGTATTATTAATACCCTTCAAATAGTTTATTAATAAAATGAATCCATGAATTTTAAATACAATTTTCTATAATTTGATAACCTTCCAGGATTTTTTGCATAATGCGCATGTAAAGTTAAATAACATGATTCATTTTCAAATTGTTCTCTTGTTTTTTGTATTCTAATTCGTTTTCTGTTAAGTTGATGATTTGAAAGTGATTTCAGTCAGGCGTATGAGGTAATTTAGCAAACGAAGCAAATATTTATTTTATTAGCGGATAATCATTTATAAATGTATAGCATCTTATGAGAAATATATCAGAACATACATTTCAAGCTAACTAAAGTAAAATGAAGATTTATCAAATAATCACCCAAAAAATCACTCAAACACTATATACCTTAAAAAATATACCTTCATTTTACATTCAATATATATCCTACACTAATACTTTGTTTCATTTTCAATTAGATATTAATGAATGTGAATTGAATTCAGATAATTGTGGTGCTCATACATTTTGCAAAAATACAATTGGTTCTTATCAGTGTATATGTAAACATGGATATAAAAATATTAATGAAACAGATTGTATTGGTAAGTCTATACTTCAAATGATGCGCTGTATATATTTCAAGCTTTTATGCTTATTTTTGTAAACAACCATTGTATTGTTCTCTGATCCTAAAAGATTTCGGTCAGATTTATGAAATGGTATCTTTAATAATGTTATCTTAAATGAATACCTGTGAACAACTTCCTTATCGAATTCTATTATTCAGAAGAAGACTAGCCACGAAAGATCGTGTTGATAAGAATTAGCATTTCCTCATTCTCCCATATGTTCAATTATTTTCGATGTAAATGGGCATTGAGTAACGTAAGGCATAACAGCCAGCTTACAATAGTTATTTCACTAATATCCAGTCAAGTCTATAATGTTTTATAAACCTTGGATTAGCATAAAATATCAAAAAACTACTGTTATGTTTGATGAAAATTTTTCTCCGTCTATGCCACGATTAAGCAAATCAACATTTTTTGTTTGTTGAGTGTCCTCCTGTTTGATGAATAATCCAACTAATTCTTAACTTCGAAAAATATTATTAATTACATCGGTTATTTAAAATTGAAAAGTGTAGCTAAATTAGTTTTGAACTAATTGTAAAAACGTAGGAAGTGGCAATATATACCTTATAATTATACACAAGCTTGCATTTTATATTCAGATACAACTATTAGCTGCGATGTCAGAAATATTGATCAACAATAAGAAGAAATTCAAATAAGATTTAGTGAATATTCACCATGCTTTTACCAGGAAGCTTTATGAAATTCTCTTTCGGCTCTCCTCTGTTAATATTTTTTATATTTAGATGAATTAAAAAATGTAACTTTCTAAAAAGTCGTAAACCATTAAAAAGCATCTAGTAAGAAACGCAAACTTTCGGCATGGAATACTCAGTAGAAACATTAATTGAACTTTGATCACTCAAGTATATGTTGTTTCCTAAATCCACACCCACCTAGATATGATACATTAGTAAGTGTAGAATACGGGAGAAAGAATTTTAACAATTGTCAGCTAAATGTATTATTACACAGTTGTGGATAAGTGTATGAGATCATCAGACTTATGTCTGAGTCGTCTGGAATTTTGAGAATTTATTGAAAAAATTGGTTGATTCTTCGGCACTGATGATTGTGAACTTCAGTCGATATAACTCTGAATTTATTTAAATAACATAAATAAATCCATTCTTTCCATATATTTCATCCTACGATTTCGTTCGTTTCTTTTGAACCAGACGTACTATATTTGATTTTACTACTATCGATATTATAATTTCGAATTTCTTCTTTTTAATTCCTTAAATTTATATTTTTCGTAGTGATGTTAAGTCTAACAACATAGTTCCCTTGTCCTATATAAAACTGACTAATTCATCCAATATAATATTCATATTTACTAATCAAATTCACACTTTCAAGTTATCAGTATTCATTATGATAGCTGTTTTGTGGAGTAACGGAAAGTATTGGGTAGATGTCTTATCCTAGAATGAGACTCATCAGCAGTTTATTTCAACAATCCTACACGGATTTGATTCCAAAGCCTTCAGGTTTTTAAGTAAACGTTCAACCTTTTGTTGAGAATGTTAAATCCCCAGAACTCGCTTGATGAATATCTTTATTTTGGATTCTATTCATGGGCTGATCAGTTGATCTTCAGATCACATTTTCCAACAGGAAAATCCTTGGCTGTGATCGGCTACTGTGTCATTTTAGTGTGCTATTTTTGTGACTATCCCAAGGACGTCTCTACGATGTGTAAATAAACGCGATTTGTGTGCTTGGATTCATTGTGTGCTGGCTGAGTGTTTGTAGAATACACTTTCTACGCTATATCAAGACTTCTTGCTGGTACCATCGGGACAAACGAATCACAGTAGCGTACCTGGACTCTGGTTCATTGTCTCGTTCTCGTTTATCGACTAAGGTGAACCCGTAATAGGTTAAGCATACCTAGTGACGAGTATAACACCTTTAGACTCGCTAGGCAGAGTTTGTGACAATCGCCCATTGAAGAAAATGACGAAGAGTTAAGTAACATGACTACTTAATTGAAGTTAGAAATGTAAACCTTTGAATGCTAGGTTATTGTTTTCAAGTGTAAGGGCTCTCCTAAAGACTGGTAGGTCCTAGCTACATCTTCTTTAGTGTCGTGTGTACACTCTGCCAATCAGTCTCATACCAGAATGAAAATGACATTCACTACCTCATGGTTTTTAATGGCTTTCTAAATGAAGTCGGCTTGTAATCACAATACAAATATCAATGTGTTTTTGGTCAGTTTTAAATTCCATTGATTTTTTTCCAAATTTTTGCAAGAACTCTCAACTTCTGTGCAGAAATATAACTTAATTTTGACAAGTAAAATTACATCTCTTTATTACCAGTTGGTTATATTGATTTTGTTTACGTTTAAAAATAGGTATCATGTAAATAGATTAATAAAAGTAATGTTATGTTAAAGTTTGTAAGAAATATATGAATGAAAACAATCCTGGCATTTATGGAATCAAAAGCGAAACTGACTTGATTTTAAAGTACATTCATTATATAATAATGGTAAACATAATCCAACGGCAATCAGATCGATCGTACCACATAAATCCTGAATTGAATCAAATGTTTTGTTAGGTTCCATCGATAATGCTTCATAAATCCAGTTTGTTTCAGTTTTCAATAATGTTTCTTCTGATAAATGTTAACATATTTCACCATAGTAATAAAGAAAAGATGCATATATACCTAAATACATACATTCAATCTTTTTACATTCAGTAATGATCTTACTTCTAGTGTTCTTAGTGTCAAGATCAATAGTGTAATATATTATAATGCTTTTTTATTATTGGAGTACAAGTTATCTTCTTAATCGACTATTTCATAATCATATTTTTTTCGATTATCATTTACACTAAAGAATAATTCCTGCATTCAATGTTTTGTTTAATTATCAATATATTTCATTATAATAATTAGATCCAAATGATATTTATAATTTGCTTTATCTTATCTTTACTATAGAAATATAACTTGTTAGGATAATTTTAGTAGCCGAATGTATTATTTTTCCTGAATCAATAAATATTTGATTTAATACTTGGTTCAGTTCATTTTCACATTTAATCAAGGTATTGAAGAAAAATTTAAAGTGATTTATTGTGGGCGTAGGTTGTCCTAGCTTATGAACAAACTAATTAACCTTTTCTATCCGAGTTACTATTTCTTCGTCATTTGACCTTTTCAAAAATTCGCTTATGATTCAGTTGTTTTGATTTAAGTAGGTGTATGCATTGCTTACTTCGTTTATCACATGTCTAGCTTATTTTTGTTTGACTATAAGTACTTAGTCATGCCTCATAGCATTGGATTGGCCCTTTTGCGTTCGCTTAATTCTCTTCGTATTCTATAGTCTGTCTGTCTTAATGAATGTATGAAATAAATTCATCCACAAAACCCTATCGAGCTTTTAATCACCGTGGTCGCATAAACAGGGTTCGCCTAAAAATAATGTACGGAAATCGAAGTTAGATCCTGTACCACGCAATGTATTTCAGTCATTTTTGACATTTAGTCACACAATATGTCCACAAATATGTTTAAAAGGTAACTGCATAAAGTTCTGAACAATGTCAATTAAATCCTAATCAGTAATTATGTTGTTGAATTTTGCTATTTCGATATGTAATGCTGTACTAGGCCTAATAACTTTCGTCTGTTTCCGTCATCCTTTCACAGTAAGTGAAATCGAAAAGGAATTCTTATCGATAATTCAATGTCATACAAGAGTTTTATTTGCCTTTAAAACACTTAGAAATGTAGAATTTTTTTCATTTAAAAAATAAATACTATTGTCCAATCGAATTCAGCAGTTTCATTACGAAAGTTTTAATAACAAATGTGATATTTCTACGGCTAAACTATATTCATAAAATCTCAATTAACTTCCATAGGGAGGCTTGGACTGATTTACTGAATGAAACATTAAACCAATTTAATTTCAATTGCTAAACTTATCTAAATACAATGCTACATTTAACGTCTGTTACATATACTAAGTGCCTAATTTTCATTAAATTGTTAGTTCAAACTTTGATGAACATACGCAAGATTATACTTCTCTTTATAAATAATGTATTGATGAAGCCCTTGTACACTAGACATTCAAACCACAAAATATGCCGGAATAAACGAGTAACTGTTTTGAAGTTTAACACTTCTAACTACATTTACAGTTAATTTACAACCATCTTATTTTCACGAAATATCACAGCTAATTTAATGTATAAAAGCGGTCTTTTTGTAATAAATCTCGAAACTTGCTTAACTTCACTAGTCGATGCTTCACACTAGGATTTCATGAAGTTTTCTGGAAGTTATTCTCTAGTAGAAACTTAGCCGACAGATTTCAAACATGTTGAAAATGAAATATATTTCTCACACTAATTTCTTGGTAAACACTTTATTAATATTTTGATTTTTTTCCTGTACCTTAGACATCGATGAATGTTCAATATTCACGCCAGCTGAATCTTGCCCTGATTTAAAGGCCCGATGCGTAAATACTCAAGGAAGTTACATTTGTGTCTGTCCTGAAGGTTTTGTTTGGTTAGGTTATCCAGACTTGAAGTGCAAAGGTTAGTTGTAATTTTCCACTTTGGAGAGAAGTTCATTTGACTATGAAACTAAAATATCGTTATTCATCAAGATACATAAATATGGAATGAAGTAGCCAGCTATGCTATTTGTATAGAAGTACTCCCAAATGTCCTGGTACGACCGAGAGATGCTCTTATATGGCTTGATATATGAAGAAACTGAAAGGAAGGTTTTACTCACTGCCTTCTCGCAGCGTGGATGTTAATTAGGAAATTGAGAAGATGAAAACTGAATTTCCAGTGCCTTAACCGGGTTTGATAGTAACGAAGGGCATAAATCTACTACCGATTTCATCCAAGTTATTGGCTTCCATCATACTTCGCAGATTCTTCAAAGGCTGGGAAAAAAACCGACTCGTTGGCAGCAGTCTGGTTTTTGTTCTAGTCGATGAGATATTGATCATATCTCCTTCCTTCCGAAGTACGAACACCACCATACTTATCGCAGGCCGACTATCGTTATGCTTCGTGTCATCAAGGTAGCATTCTATTCGTTAGACAAGACTGTTCTCTCGGATTTCCTAATGAAGAAGAGTATTTCTGAGAGGTTTATTAAAATCCTGAAGGCCCTAGATACAAACACCTCAGGTAGAGTGGGAGCATATAACGGCATCTCTCTGTTGTTTCATTTAACCAATGGGCTTATGCAGGGTTGCCCAATCTCACCATTCCTCTTCAACTTTGCCATCGATGGCGTTCTAAAAACAACTCTGATGGGTGTAGGTGATAATGATGAGAATCTGTTACCTGGAAAGAGTCTTTTTAGCCTTGAGTATATGGATGATATTTTCTTACTGCCCGATGATTCCTAAGCCATGCAGTCAACACTCAATCAGTCGGTAATCAGTGTCCATAGGTATGGCCCATGTGTTCCACCCTCTAAGTGCAAAATATTTTTACAAGACTGACAGGACCTTGAACCTGAGTTCACTAGTGTTATTGAGAAGATAAAAGTAATCGAACAGTTCATGTACATGTGCGTAGTAGGGTTGGTGGCGTAATTGGTGAGATCAGTTTACGTATAATGAAAATCAGAGCGCTTATGCCAATCTTGTTCATATTTGGCGCCTTCGTGATGTTTGTCCTTCTGTAAAAGGTCGTGCTCACAATGCGTCCGTAAAAGCAGTTTTGCTGTACCTGCAAAACCTGATATCAAGAAGCTTTCTGAGTTTGATCACCACTGTCCACGAAGAATTTTTTTGACATACAGCGGCAACACCGTGTTCGTGATACAGAGTTTCAGTAAAGTGTAATTTGAGCGCAGCAACGATAAATCAACTGGTGTCACCATCTTGAATTATCGATTTTCATGGCTTGGGCCTGTACTACGAAATCATCGACAAGAATTCCACGTCGTGTATTAGTTACCAACGTTGGGACTGGTCGGAAGAAGCGAAGAAATGGTGAGTGTATGATAGATTGCCAAAGTGTGAAAGAAAGCTATACAGGACTGGCATCTGTTGGCTATTCTCAACTCCCTAGTAGAGTTCCCAGAGATGGTGCAATTCAAAAGCTTGAGACGTTATCAGACATGGCTCAAAACAGAAGCTCACTGCCGGTCCTATTGGGACTCTCTCATTTTCTTCACATAAATAAGCGGAACTTCTTTAACTATAAGGATTCTTTCTGACTGTGTTTTCCTTAATTGAACTGTATATCCCACTATTATTTACTGCTATTTAACTTTCCCACACTAATCTCTAACTATTTTTATGTGTTATACTCACCATTCTTTCTCTTCACGACCTCATTTTTGTTTTGTGGTGCCTACATATTTTGTTACTTACTTGTAATAACATTTATGTTTTACATCAATAGAAGTTGTTAAGTATTAAAAGCGTTAAATTGGGAAAAAGTAGATTTCAGAATAAGAAATTAACATGTAAACCTATGTATTTGGTTCCATATTTCAACAGCTTCACATTCTGCATAACTTCATTTGCCTCTTAATATAAACATTATTGAAATAATTTACCCTGTTTCCAGTGCATTCTCCACAATTTCATAGAACAACAGTATAAGCACAACGAAACAACGTTAACTGAAAATGTCATAGTGTGGTGCAAATATATATGTATTTGCTGAAGCGATCTAATTTTGATCTCACAGATTTAAAGATATAGAATCGGTTTTTGTAAGTTTTTCATTAAACTATGAAATCAAGGGTGTGATGATCAAGTTTATCTGTTGTCCACCACTTCAGTTCAGTTTAATTAGCGATGTGTTGCATTCATACAACACTAGAAAATCACACCACCTATTTCATAGTTTACTCAGTGTTAAAGAAATATGTCTACAATTAATGTAACTATACTACGCTTTTCTGGAGTTAAACAAATAAACAAATATATATATATATATATATATATATATACGTTCATATTTCTTCAAGCACTATTAATGAAATGCAATTTGCGGATGCTAATGGTTCAGGGTATTTCCAACGACAGTTGAAATATCATTCATACCTAAACGGACATTGACAAAGTAAGATGAAAAGATAGCATCTAATCATTTTTAGAATATCACTTTTCTCGTTTCGTAAAACCCCCATATATTGCAATCCAAAATTTTATGCCCTTCTATTTATGGCACTGTCAGACTTTCTAGTTGTTATTTATGATAGATCAAAAGAAAATTAGTTATGTTTACTTTCTTGCTGACTTGAATTTTATCAGCAACAGTTGGATCAAGTCTTGTTAAATTATATTTGGAATTTTTTTTTTTTATTTTTAATGTTTCCAAGCACAGATTAACATTCTCTAAACATTCATGTATGTTTTTATTTCTCTGATGCATCATTATTATTTTGGTTTTTTCAGATGTTGATGAATGCAATGAAAAGCCAAATATATGTGGGAAAGAAAATCAGTGTATAAATACTATTGGAAGTTATCGATGTCAGTGTGCCTCTGGATATAAAAATGGAGAAAATGAAAAATCGTGTGTTGGTCAGTTCATCACAAATCTCATTTTTTTGATATTGTGATTGATATTTTTTAGAGTTTTTCATGAACTACTATTATTATTGTTAGTAATATGATTATGTAAAATGAAAAGACCTCTCACAAAAATGGATTTGGTGAATGGCTAGACCAGTTATTGTAGAGAGGAAATGACACTGAACAACTATTTCTACTGTCATTTATTGGTTCGTAAGCTTAGAAAGGATTTGTATTCGATTAGTGATCACATGAGAATAAATTTATAGTTTTTTCCGAATGATGAAAATTAAATTGACAGATTGGTTAAAAGTAATAACAGTAAATACAATCCTGCTTCTGGATTAGATCGCATAATCAGCACTAAGATGCAGTGAAATTCAGCTGAGGTGGTGCAACTAAAATCAAATAAGCGTCCTTGGTTAAGGAAATGACCACAATTCCAAAATGCAGGTAGTGACAGTAATTAAGAGCCATTGTGATAATGCATACCGCACCGTAGAAAATGATATGAAAATTTTTCATGAAAATAGCATTGATATTCGTCTTAAATATTCAGAATTTACATAAGAAACTCAGTTTAAGAATCATGCAGCAGTATCCCTTGTCTTTTTATTATGTTTCCGAAAAAGAGAATAATCTAAAACGGATACAGCCACAAACATTATGTACTAGATATATTTTATATTACTAATAAGTAGCGTAATTCGCGTAATTCACTAAATCTAACCTAGCTTATTTCTAGACGAGTTTGAACGATTTTCTGACAAATATTCTATTAGCTTTAGCGTTGATTGATATAAACATATGAGTGATTTTTTAAAGATTCATATTACAATTACTTCATTTCTGTGTTTTCTAAAATAATGGAAAATTAACGAAAAATATCGAAATCAACTAGATATTGACGAATGCAATATGAAACCGTACAATAATGATGTAAATTACATATCACCATGTCCATATTCACTATGCATTAATCAGCCTGGCAGTTTTCAATGTCAGTGTCCAGATGGATTCCGGTTAGGAAGAGGAAATCGATGTTATGGTAAGATTACTGATGTCATGAACTTGTTAACTATTTCTTTGCATTATGTGGACGGATAGATTGTTGAGTTAATTTGTGAAATCATGAACCGATCAATTGTTGGACCATCATTAGAAACCTAGAAGTACTGAACGGCCTTCTCGTCCTGGTATGGGACTAGCAATGCACATACACGACTCCTGAAACTCTCTGGGTTCGAACCCAGGACCCTAGGTCTTACTAATGAATGCCTAACCTCTGGACAACTGACCTGATGTCTAACTGTGTTATTGTTTATTTTCGATCAATCTACGGTGTATTATTGGTATTGACGGAGTGCTCTCTCATGAGCACTAATCCAAACCGATGTGACTGAAAGCAAACTATGCGCGTTGAGAGCGTTCGTAGCTGTTGTAGTTCAGTATCCTGGTATATAAAACCCCCGTATTTGAAGGAATTCGTATTGAGTTCCATTCTCATCAACATTAAAATAGAGGCTCAAAGAAGTGATAAGTCCTAAATAAGATAAACTGTATATTCTGTAATTCACTGCTGTCATCTGTTAAGATAAATATACTACTATCAGTTTAAAGTTATAATCAGTCACTAGTTAACGATAATAAGAACAAATAAGTAAAAAACTAAATGGAGTAACGTAACGTTAAGAGGTATATAGGTATGCTTAGTGTTAAACCCGTTTAAGAAACATTTGTATGGAAATACGTAACAAAGTTTTCTTTTAGGTTTTGTTACTGGATTGCTTTAAATCCCCTTGTGATATCTTGTTTATTAAACGGTAGAGTTTATAACCATCATTTTCGACTGTAACAAAATCTTGGAGATTACGAAAGTAGCTGAATCATCGAACATCGAAATATTCACTTCTTTGCATTACACCAAAGTTTTTAAGTAACCCTTTAGCTGTTTTTATTGTGCATTTGTCACTTCTTAAATGTTCTACTTTAAAATTATAATCATATTATAATAAAAAAGAAGAGTGCAATTTTTTTCACATCATAAATTTTTGTAAAAATCTATACTGAATTCTAAAGCATTAGTCTGTGAATATTAAATCATTCAGCGTTAATCAGCTTAACTTCATATTAAATCGATTAATTTTCTTTATGAATACTCATCAGTTAGTTATATTATGGATCATTAATCAATATTAAATTATTCGAGTAAGAAATTGTTAATTAATGTAGAAATGGTATCCAAAAAATATTCTCAGATTATTTGTTATCAATTTAATTTACTTACTAAGCTTTTAATCGATTACAAATAAACCCTTTATTTGAGAAAAACTTCACATCTCACATTTTTAATTGATAGTTTTATTCAAGGCGAAGAGACAATATCTGCCTTCATTTATTTACTTTCTTTTAAACCTTGAAAACAAATTTATTTACATTAAAGTGAATAAATTACCAAGAATACACCCAATGAATAAATAATTAAAATTTAGAGTAAATTTCCCATTCCACTGACGAGGTCATCGTTAGTTTTATCTTTAATTGAACAAAATAAAATAAATCGAATTCAGTTAATTATTGAATGGTGTTTTTCTTTTTTTGTTTACAAACAAAATAATTTCGCCTACCATTTTCTTTAACCTTTAAAAGGAAGGTATACACACTTGACTGAGTCCTATTAAAATCAACTGGTCGATAAATGCTACAAAGCTTCTAAACAAAAGATTATTTTCAATCTTTCGAAGAATATTCACTCTATAACTTACTTTCTGTAGATTATTCACTCATCAGTTTAACATTAGCAATAAAACGATGAAACGTGTAGTTTAAGTCGATCATCTTACTTGAAATGATTGGATCTATTGACTAATTTTTATTTGATGTTGCATTGAACATTTGTTCAATTTGGTCATTGATGAAACATCAACATTTTACAGTGATAAAGATTGGATTTTGATATTCGAGAAGTTTCATATTAGAGTCATGCAGCAAGCATCTCATCATTCATTCATTATACTTTCGTTTAATTTATGGTCGATAATTGTATTGACCATGATGAGATGCTACAGTCAAATAATTGACCACTGCCATTTGGTAATATGTGTTTTTCAGTTTATGCTACTTTGTAGAAAAAAGTATCTTCAAATCATATGATTTTTTAACAAACTTCTGTTTTACAAATTGTGAAGACGGTTAAATTTCTTCCTGTTTAATCCAACAGGATGATTTCCTAAATAAACTTTAAAAATATTCAAATATATGTATCGTAAACGTATGCAAGGACATGGCTATATTATCACATATTCAAATTGAATGATAGCATATATGTTTTGGAAGAAATTTAGGCCACTTAATTAACTGTAGAAGTAGAATTAAATATAAAATATTATGCTTGAAACTGATACTCATTAATTTTAATCTTATAAGCTATCATATTTATTAATGAGGATTATGAAAAATTAAACTAGCTTACCACTACTAATCACTTCTTCAATTTCTCTCTAAACATATATACGCTGTACTTTTTGGAATTAGTTTTTTTAGGAGACTTATTCTTGAGTAAAATTGTTTGTCAATCAATGAATATATAATATATATATATAATCTTGTGTCAGAACCGAACCATATAGAAAATCTTTAAAAAATTTCTGTGGACCAGTTTGAAAAGTACATTAGAAATACTCTGATTAACTATAAATATGACACTAGCGCACCATTTCATCATTTACATTCGATATTCTCAGACAATTTTGATATTATAAAGTAAAATTTATATTCGAAATGCTTTAATGAATAACGTAAGTCATTTGCTTTACTAGTGAATATAAATCTATGGTTACTTAAGAAATTAACTCTATGAAAAACAAGACTAATAGCTAAGATTGCTTATGATTATTATTACAAACTATTCACGAAAAATAGTGTACAATGTAACAATGTACACATGAAATTGATAAAACGCACTGGTTTATCATTCAAACAGTGTTAAATATTCAAGTGTAAAAGTTTCATTGTTAGGGTAAAAGTTTTTATCAATATTATTTTCAGACACAATACATATATATGAAAAAAATTTACCGGTTCAATTATACAATTCCCACACAATATATTAAAAAAGTTCATAGAATATCATATAACTGTTGTTTATATGATATTAGCCCCAATTATTACTCAATTACAATCGTTTAGAATAAATGTTTATGCTTAATTACTTGTTAAGCTGGGTGCATCGATCTCTTAACCTACTAATTTTTATAGTTGATTACCGTTAGCAGACTTTATAAATTTTATTTCAATGGTATTCACTTTATGATAGTGTATTGAAATATCTTAAACTAAATCTTAAATGTCCCAATATTAATTTCCGTTAACAACATTTGAATAATAGAATCAGCTGGATATACACAAAGAATGTTTTTTTTGATTTGAATTCTTCATCAAAATCAATCTCAAAATTTAATATGTCAAAATAAGTAGTAAGAATATTCATCAATGCCGTTTTCATCACTGGTATAATTATTTGGCATTTCTCTTTGAGAAAATATGAAGAACTCAATTTGGCTTCCACTGACTGTTAATCAAACTTCGGCAATTTCATGATCTACTAACTTAAACATCTAATTTTCAATTACTAATAAGTGATCTTTCCGTAGAATAACTGAGTACTTCACTTCTTCAGCGTTGATATTGACCTTTTACTAAATACGCCACTAATTGAAGGTTCTTAGTCAAGCATATGCTCCAAAAAGTTGTTTTGATGCGACAAGGAATAATGGATACATTATAAATCTATTGAAATTTTATTTCTTTCGTGTTGTAATTTCCAGAAATTAAAATTTATTTAATTTTATTTGGTTTTACCATTTTCAATTAAGATATCGATGAATGTCATGAACTGGAGAATGTTTGTAGATCAAATAATCCACATGCTCCAAGTCAAGCTTGTATAAATCTTATGGGTAGTTATCGATGTGTATCTGATGAAACGCCACCAAATTATGTGAAACATCGACTTGGTAATGGGTTCAGGTTAGTAATATTGTAAAATAATTTTACTGTTTGCATAAATAAAGAAATAAATTTATTGTGCATGCGTTGCAATCTCCCTAGGGATCACGTGATCTGAATCTACTCTTAATCAATTAAAAAACAACGAAGGTCACGCAAGTGACCTATGTTTTATTCACCATGGAGAAACAAGAGTAAATGATTTGCCACACATTGAGTTATTCAAAATAAACACTTCGTAAAAACCAATGGGTTTAATCGTTGGTCTATATAAAATTAGCCAAGGAAAAAAATTATCTCAGTGGTAAGGGACAACAAAGTTGACCTGCTACGAATCATAAAGTACTTTTGTGAAATTTTACGCTTAATTTTATAATTTCGTTTTGTGTATAGAAAGTGTTGCTTGTTTTAAATATTTGTACTTTTCATAATGATCGATTGAAGATATGTGGTTAGTTTATTTGGCTAAAAAGTAACAGTAGAAGACCAAATAAAAAGTGAATTCATAGAATCCTTCTCGAATCTAAAGATACCAATTTCAATTTCGATATTTATGAGAGAGAACAACATTGCAGTTTTAGATATGAACAACTTCATCTTTATAAGTTGTGGCGTTTTTATTATAGGTGAACAGTGATTACAGGGTTGTATAACGAAAACAGCTATCTTATCTTTGTAATATTTAGTACTAAACACTATTGAAATTTATCTCTGTTGGTTTCTCCTTTCATTATTTGACTAAATGTTATGGGATGCCTATATGCACCTTTCTCTACTGACTTAAGTGCTAGAAAATTAGTTCCTTTAAAAAATCTAGACAGTGAAATGAAGCCACCACCATTTGACATTTTAGCCTAATACATATCAGACAATTTGATTATATATTTAATTACTAAGAAATAGAAAATAAACCAAAGTAACGAAAACACAGGGATTTTAAATTCATTAAGCACACAACATAAATCACATTACCCTCGATATTAAGATTAAAATCAATTTAATCAAAGTAGGTTGAATATAAGCACAAAGTGTTTTTGAAACACTTAGAATGGATTGAATGGCTCAATGATTTAGGTTTAAACAAATCTTAGTATTTACTTTATATCTCTCCTCGATAATACCACAAAGACTGAGTTAAGAATAATCTTGTCATAGCGTTTAACTCCATCTATGGAGAGAAACAACTGCATAATGTGATATGTATTCCAGAATATCATTTATACTTGATATGCTGTTCATTAAAATGATCTATTTAGATTGATGTATTTAAAAAAACAGTTACTATTCATATAAAATGTTAATGTTGTATTGTTTGAGATATATATTTCATCTCAGATTTAGATATGATCATTAAATGTAATATCACATCCACTGTTCAGGATCTACTTTATAAGGTAGTGTTAAATTCACTTTGAAAATTAATTTACGTTGTGAAATTATCACTTTAAGGTCTTGTCCATGTTCATTTCAAGAATATAATCTATAGTGCTTTTCAAAAATCCTTGAAATAAGACCACATTATATAACTAAGACTTTCGCTAAAATACCACTCAAAACCAAGAAAGTGCATAAATATATGAATGAGGTGGAGACAGGAAACCAAAGAGATTGTATACTACTCCCGCAATTAAGCACAAAGTATGACTGCACTGAATTCTGAAAACTCTAGGTTACCCCATAACTTTTCGTGTTAGAATAGTAATTATTAATTAGTTACAGGCATGTTGAAGTATGACCCATGACTATTTATTCATTTTATGGGTGTGATCGAACAGACTTAATTCATTAACATGATGTGACGTTAGAATAGTCAAAAAATAATTTTCTCATACAACATTATCGAGAAAAAGAAACCTTACTATTAGAAATGTGATATCAAAAATACGATTTACTGGTTTCAATAGAACTCAACAATTTTAAAGCACTACAATAGCAATAGTTTATATGTTGTGAAAATAATGATTACACAATTCATGCCGGTTCATAGGCACCATCACCTTGATATAGACAGACATAGAAAATATTTTTTGGGTTATCTTGAAAACATAATGCTTGGACAAACGACTTAAGAAATGGAGGACTACTCCAGATATGTAGATGACATGTTTGTTGTCTGTAGCAGTAAAAAGCATGCAATTCATATGTTGAACTCTTCAGCGATGCTCATTCCAACGTGCAATTTACTATGAACTACTAAAAGAATGACATACCCCACTTTTTTGATATTGCCATACATTGGAGGACAGACGAGATAGCTTAACGTTTGGTTTATCGGGAATGTTCTTGGAATGGTCTTTACCTGGATTTCAATAGTTTCTGTCTAATCTGTTACATAAGAGCGTTGGTCAAAACACTAATTTATGGGATAGAAGGGATATGTATCACCGATAAAGTGCAAAAAGAATTGTGGAAAATGCCTACGAGATAACTGCTACCCATAGACATTTATCAACAAATGTAAAAAATCTAATGAAAAACAGATAGGTGTGACTGCAGTCAATCGAAAATAAATATTTATAAATTTCAACTTCAAATGTGATGACGTCTCAAGCGTAATCAGCAGGAAGCTTAACACTGCATTAGCCAGAACATACCCTGCGGCCAAACTATTAATATTGAATAAAACATTATGTTATATAACCTAATCAAAAATCGACAATTAACCATTTCACATTTCCGCCAGATATATCTATAAATTTATGTGTACTTGCTATAAGGTGCTTTAAACCTGATATACATGTCCGAAACGAAATGTTTTTAAGCTTTCTTTATCTTGGTGATAAATATTCCTTCAATGCATCAAAACGTTTTGTTCAACTCTGTCTTCCAACTTATTATATGGTTAAGTTTTGATTTTGACTGTCTTCTACGTTAGTAATCTTATTTTAACTAAATGAGTTTCAGTCATTTTATGCTTACTTATTATCAACGTTTATTCATTAAACAGTCACTTGTTTGTAATCATTTGGACTTCTGTTATCATCAGTGTTGTAGAATATTCTTTGTATAAGGTATACATTTATAATATTCAACTCAGTCTATTAAACTTACTTACAACCTAGCTATACTATGCTAATGTCTGACCAAAGCAACTTACAACCAAACTCACTCATGTCAATCAGTCAGTCAGTCAGTTACAATGTAGAACTTCGTACGTACGAACATCAGTTCAGGTTACTATACCACATCAGCACAGAGACGCAACTGTCAGTTCAAATCACATAGTGGTAGCGATAGTAGAAGTAATAGCAGTAATGGAGAACATTAGGGTTCTAAGATATGATTCAAGAATTATAATTCAGTGATATAAATTTAGAAAGAGAAAGATAGAGATGATGAGGAATCCAGAAGGTTATGATTTGAGAGAACAAAAGGAGTGGATGTATGTGCCGTGTTGTTCAACGTCTCTAACCATTGGTGACTTTCTTCTCGCGGACCCCAACCAGGTAGTCGACACCTACCGACATGACTTAATCCACTTGTTAGTGATTTCATGGATTTGTGTCACGTTTTGGTTTGGCTACCCCTAGCTTTCTGCCAATCTACTCCTACGTCACAGAACATAGCTCGTCGAGGCAGTCGGTGGTCGGGCTTTCGTAACACTTGTCCCAACCACCTCAACTGATGAAGTTTTACTGCTTCATCAATTGGTCCGCAATGCTAACCTAATACTCGTTGCCTAACTATAGCATTGGTTACTAGGCTGTCCCAGGATATACGAGCAATACTTCGAAACTTGTTCATGTGAGTAATTTAAATCTATTTTGAAATTATGATTTCAAATATTAAAAGTTGCAAGTAGCTGATCAGACAAAACAAAATGAAATTAATTTATGTTTTTCCACTCAAATCTTTGTTTTTATTCTCTTCATAGATAGAAATGATAAATATAAAGACAGCTGTATCATAGTGAATTGTTTGAAATGTCATAGTTGAGAAGTTGTTTATGTGGTACATTTTTCACATGAAATATAGCAAGACTACAATCCTTTCAATGTATAAAGTGTTACATAGGCTCTAAAAACAGACCACTTTCCAAAAGTATTTCAAAATATTACCCGGCGTTGTTGGCACCACCTCGAAACATCAGTACCTGATCAACCCTAGAAAACGTTGGTCTGAAGGAGTTTTCATTTGAAATGACAATATACTTGCTTTTCCTCACATTTACTGATAGATGTTTTTAATTCGTCCTGCACCTAGACTTACGATGCGTGTCATGTTTGGATTAATTAAACATACTATACACTTTATATCTAAATAAGATTTTTTACTACATCCTACGATGAATATATATGCAGTGTATAGTATATGTGCTGCACACTTAATCGAGCATATTTCAAAAAAATGAATGTGTAATTTCACATATTTAAAACAGCAGTAACAAAAATAACTAGTTCTAATTATCAATTCCTATATCGTTTGTGAAATGTCAAGGTCATTGCCGTCAAGAGATGAAAATGAATGACTTCCCCATGTAGTTACTTTTATATCATTTTGTAAAACTGATAAGCTTGAAAACTATGACCCATTGACTTTTAGTGTTTCTTTTATTATCGGAGGTAAATAATACATAATATTGGTAAATATCAAGTCTTATAATTCATTTTCTAAAGAATTCGTCTTCATTGAAGCACTGCACAGAATAAAATTGAAATAATTCAACCATTTCACTTCGTTAGGTCAGTTTCACCGTAATGATATTGAATTTAGCCAGTATGTTAGATTGAATCACGAATGAAGTGTAACTTCAGTCAGTTTCCACTAGAGATGAACATAAATGAGGAGTTTCAGACCAAAATAAATCATGTCTTACACTTTTTTTATCTTTAATCCGTCTATTTCTCGACACCAAAATCTTTCAAAATTACTCATATATGCAAACGTTTTCATTTAATTTTTATTTTAATAATTAGAGCTTTATGTCATCTAGAAAGGAGTCCTATCGCTTATTTGGTTTCCATGTGAATTATTTACATTTTTCTAAAAATATTTTTATGCTGTAATGTAGCAGACTTGTT